AGGAAAGGAAAGGAAAGGAAAGGAAAGGAAAGGAAAGGAAAGGAAAGGATCCCATCCTTGTTCTATAGTTTACTAGAGCTTTGTGAGCCAGCTGATTCATTGAGACACTGTAGTCGTCATAATATGAAGCTTTTCATTTTTATTTATTTATTTTTGCAGTACAGCATGATCCTGTATGTTACCTCACTTTGTATCCCTTCTCAGGCCTTCTTCAGCACTTCCAATAATGGAGGAGGTTCCAGAAGTGACACAGAATGAGGTAACATGGCAACTGCACACTTTAAAAATGGGTGAGGGACATTGCTTTGAAAAACAGCTTTAAAGCAATGCAGTTTTTAAAAAAGAAAGTTACATTATTGTTCTGTAGAAGAACTCTGAAATTATACAAGAACTGCCTATTATTATTTAAAATGAGATGAAGATGCAAAACTGACCTATATATCATTAGTGTTAACTGTTGCCTTCCTAACATCTTTTGAAATAATGACTCAACGGTGCCTGTTCTAGTAAGAAAGTCTACAGGAAATTTGATAAGTTTCTGCATTTATTTAGCCAGATAAGTTAATCAGAAGTATATTTGAAACTGCCTAGAAAAAGAAATGTGAATTCCCTGCTTACATCATGAAACTGATTAGAAAAAGTCAGGATTTCCAGCCCTGTAATAAGCATAATGGATAAACTGGATAAACTATTGCTCTTTAGGCTAGAAAGCAAAAGGGAAGAATAGTAAGGAAGATTTTCAATAGAAAGAGGAAATTCATATATGTAGAATTTTATAAACTATCATTTTCTGTCTGCTTTATTTGTCAAGGTATGATCACTGTAACAAGAACTTTATAAGGCTAAGTTGCAAACAAAAGAGCCAGAGTGTGCTGCAGTCCTTAAGGATTTAGACTGGAGAACGCTGGGGAGTCCCATATTGAAGTCCACCCTCAGCAATGGAAGTGTGTTGGGTGACTTTGGGCCAGTCACTCTTTCTCAGCCCAACCTAGCCACACTGGGGAGTTATTATGGCAGAAGGGAGTGCTATGCATGCTGCCTTGAGATGCTGAAGGAAAGGCAGAATACAAATCTAAAAAATCAAATAAATGAAGAAATAAATATGGTTGACCTTCTCCACCCTCCTCCCCTACTTACAGGGTCGAACTGGCAGCACTTCTGATGAGCCTCTTTCACCAGAAGCTGAGGAGGAAGAGGAGGAATTCTGGCCAGAATTCCCTCCCCGTTCTCCTGAAGCAAGTCCACAAAGCCCAACAGAGCTCAAAAGTTTGGAGACAGGTGAGGAAAACGTCATTCAGCACACTGAGAAGACAGAATACACTAAAGTTGGTCAGAATAGACTAAAGTTGGAAGTGACATACTGTGCTTTATTGCTTGAAATAATACATCCTACAAAGTCTGCCTGGAACTTAATCCTGAGTAAATCATTTTAATTTTTACCAATGAAGCAACAATAACAAAATCCTCCACAATCAGTGTTTCTAGACTTCATAACTTCCTGCATTACTGCACATTCCTTTTAAAGACATTTTCTTTCATGACCTTCACTGATATTACTCTTAAAACTCCAACAGCTATTGACAGAGTAAGCAGGAACCTGTTTTACCCCCTGTCCCCATGAGGCTGGTCTCTTCTCTATTTCCCCGCAATGATTTATGCAGCCTTCTGCTGCTATTTTCTACAGGTAGTCCCCAGTTTAAGAACAAGGTCTGTTCCCAAGCTCTGTCCTAAAGTCGAATTTGCATGTAAGCCGGAACAGTATTATTGTATAATACTGTATAAGTAGGATTGTCTAATGAACTCGAACCATTGTGTATTTAACTCGAATCATTGTATATTTAACTCAAATTTTGCTACAGTAGGCTCTGTTCTTAGCTATGGGTCATCCTTAAACTGAGTGTTCTTAACCCGAAGACTACCTGTACTGCAAAACATGGGCCAGTGCAATATACAGAGGAGATTGAAGAGATGACAGTTCAGATGATGGGACATGGGATAGAGGTTAATTCACAAGGTAAGAAAATAATAATAATAATAATAATACACTTGTCTGTAATTCACTCTAGGTGGCATTACTCCACCCTCTACTGCTCCAAAAGCTGCTGAGGATTTGGCCAGGTGAGACAATCTCTGGGAGCATTTCTAGTAGGGTGGGCTATATTTGGGGTGGGCAAGATCCAGGTTTCCAGGATATATTGGGGGGATGGCTACAAGCCTGAAAATTTCTAACCAGAACTTGGTGCAAAAGATATACACTTAAGAGTGGAAGAAGTGAGGAACAGATTAAGTTTCAGAGTTAAATATAACTCATACTGCTAAACACACAAACATTCTTATTCCTTCCTCAAGGTTTTTTTCACTTCAGCACTATCATTAGATGTGGAAGAAAGAAAGAAAGTGGGAGCGACTAGGTGCCTTCTTTTGTTAAACCATTGGGAGAAAAGGATCTTTGGCAATTGACTGCAAATCATGGAAAGGTCTACCAAGCAATTCTGGATCTTTTGCCCATTCGAAAGGCTGCATTACCACTTTCTACTCTGCAGGGGGCACTCAGAAATCAAAGTTCAGCAATGAGCAGGATGACCAAAATGGGACAAGTAGTAATAGTAAGGACAAAAGTTCCTTATGAACACTACCCCCAAAATGTTAAATCCTTGCCTTCAAGCCGCTATCAAGAACTTCAGATTTCTAGTACAAACCCTTCTGTGGCCATAAATTGGCTCCTCAACCTTTCCCTCTTGCCTTAAGCCTTGAAAGAAAGCAACGAGATGGACATATGATGTCAGGCCCCCAAAGCATTAACCAGTCTTCACCAAATGGATGCCTTCTGGGGATGCTGGGACTAGAGCTCCAGCTTCTGGCCCTTATATATGAAAGGTCAAATGAAGGGAGGATGCTAATAAAGATGTGAACATTCAGAAATTTGGGAGGGGCAGAGGGAAATGCTGGGGTGGTGAATGAGAAAAATTCAGAAGAAGCCAAAACTGAAGATAACAGTGGTTCAGTTTTTCCTCAGATCTTCACCTTGCTAGCTGCAAGATATGGCAGTTTTAGCCATGATTCTCCAGTGAGCCATGAGCCAAACTGTTGGTAGACTTTACTGAAGAGCCAGCAGAAAGGGATTCCCCCTTCCCTGAGCCACCATGCCCACCTCTCCTGAGAAGCTCTGGCTGAAGGCCCAGGATAGAGACCCACCCAGTGCCACCCCTTCTCCAATGCTTTAGGCTCAGGATGTACGGGTAGTCCCCAGTTTAAAAACAAGTTCTGTTCCCAAGGTCCATCCTTAAGTCGAATTGTATCTAAGCCAGAACAGTAGTATTGTATAATACTGTATACTGTAAGTAGGAGTGTGTAACGAACTTGAACCATTGTGTATTTAACTCGAGTCATTGTGTATTTAACTCAAATTTTGCTACAATAGACTCTGTACTTAACTATGGGTCATCCGTAAACTGGGCGTTCTTAACCCAAGGACTCTGGTTCTCAGCCCTGAAGCTGCCCTGAAGGGAGAGAAAGAGCCCCCACCTGCTGCACCAGAGGAAGCTGCTGCTGCCAAAGAGAAAAAGAAGAGGCCTGCCTTTGACCGGAGGGAGATAACCAGGCCAAGGATGCCACCCAGGGGACAGTCCCGCAAAGCCATTGTGGAGAAGTTTGGAGGGTAAGACTGTGTTTCGAGCTCCGCCATGGCTTGTTTCAACTATGCTTTGTTCAGCAAGCCCTACTGATTGATATACAGATAAACCTTTCTATACCTTAGCTTACAAATCCTAATTGCTAAATTCGTACCTCACAGTAAGCCAGAACCAAACAAATCGCATTATGTCTTAGCACTGGAATGGCTGTATGTCAGTGTTGTCCAAACTTGGCCACTTTAAGATGAGTGGATTTCAACTCCCAGAATTC